TATTTAATTTTGACTGAATCTCTGCTGCTTGAGGAAGATGTCTTCTGTAAAAATTAATCATACCTAAAAAACGTCTGAGTTCCTCGATTGTTTTAGGCCTAGGAAAATTAATTATAGAGCTAACTCGTTGTTCTAAGGGTTTAATACAATCTTTCGAAACGTGGTATCCCAGAAACTCGATTTCGTTCTGCCCAAAATTGCATTTTGAAGTGTTAATAGTTAAGCCATATTTATTAAATCGCTCAAATACTAGTCTGAGGTGTTCCTTATGTTCGGATTCAGATTTCGACGCTACTATTACATCGTCGATATATACAAAAATAAAATTAAGATTTTGAAGTACGACGTTATTTAAGTAGTTAAAATCTCTGAAATGTTTGAGCTGCATTTCTTAGCCCAAACGTCATCCTTGGGAACTCAAAAAGACCGAATGGCGTAGTGATGGCTGTCTTCTCTATGTCTTCACTATTGATGGGGATGAAATGATAGGCACGTGTTATATCGATCTTCGAAAATATCTTTTTACCCGACAGTAAATATGTAAAATCTTGTAAGCGTGGAATCGGATACCTGTCAGGCTTAGTGATGGCATTTAATTGCCTGTAATCACCACATGGTCTAATACCACCATCCTTTTTCGGGACTACGTGGAGTGGACTTGCCCAACAGCTCTTCGATGGTCTACATATGCCCACGTCTTGCATGATTTCAAATTCCGATTTTACCTTCTGATATTTGTCCGGAGCTAAAGGTCTGGATCGCGCAAATACAGGAGGTCCTGTAGTCTCAATATAATGAACAACAGAGTGTCTTGGTGTATCTTTGAAACAAATAGGTTTCGTTATATCGGGATACTCTAACATTAAGTCGTAATATTTATTATTTATATCCAACGTAGTAATAGATGACTCATCGTGTTGCACTATCGATGTTATAGTATCTATATTTGTTATTTGATCAATAAGTCGACGACGATATAAATCTACTATAAGCTTATGATAGGTTAAAAAGTCTGCGCCTAATATTGGCTGTAAACACAAAAGTCCACCGAAAAGGTCGGCGTAAATTTAAATTTAACACTAACGATTTAACACCATATGTCTTTATTTCACTGCCATTAGCTGCATAAAGTTTATATTTATCACTAACTACATTGTCATAGAGTCGTTTTTTGTACGGTAACACTGAAATATTTGCACCTGTGTCCACAAGAAAACGTAAACCACTTTTGCAGTCGGTTACGCATAAACGGTAGAACGGCGATATGGTGCAGACATCCACCCTTGGCTGCACCTTGTCTAGTTTTCCGGCTGCTCCTTCCAAGCACATGGCTCAACACATTTCTTTGCTTTAACGCCGAAACGGTGATGATAGAAACATAGCCATTTCGAAGATTCGGACCTGCGGCGTCGTTGTTCGGATACTGAACGTCCGCATGATGTAGTACGTCGCCTCCAATTACATCGAGTACTTCGATACCTTGGTCTCGATCTCTCAAGTTCCATGACCTTCACACTTAACATGGCTATTTGTGACATAAGAAATGACGTATCATCCGATTTTTCAGCTTGACAATTTACTTCAGCAGCATGTAAAGGTCTCGTGGTCTCCATAATTTTGTCAGCGATAGCTGCAAGGTTATCTAGATCCTTTACCTCGCTAACTGCCAACACCGCTCGAACTGACGTGGGTAAATGTCCTTGCCACATGATACACAGCGTTTCATCAGGTATCTTATTACGAGCCAAATCCCGCATTCGCCTAAGAAGCTGAGAAGGCTTCTGATCGCCAAGTTCCATTTCCCCCAGCAACTTCTGGAACTGTCGGTTCTCCGATTCTTCGTAAACAGCGAGCAAACGATTTTTCAAGGTCTCATATTTATGTTTTTCTGGTGGATTAAGGACAATATCGCTAACCTGCTCGATGACTTGCTTGCCCAATTTCGGAAGCAACAAGTTAAACTTCGCTTCATCGCCTAATTTTTGAGAAGCTAGCACCGCCTCACACTGGGCGAACCATAATCGCGGCTGGTCGCACCAAAATTCCGGTATTCGCGATGATACGCTGATTGTTGCTAGTTCTGAACCTTCACGTAAATTTTCCTTCGCTTGTAAGACTGGTTTAGAATTGGTAGCCATCCTATATTTGTTCTTCAGTCAGGTGTTTTTTTTCAGTCGGGGTCACCAATATGTGGCGGACGTGAGGAGAAAATAATAAAGCTTTAATATTAAGCGTTTATTGAAGTGCGTATTGCACTTGCGAGACCAAGCGAGAGACTCTCAATCGATACATATTCGATCTATAATCTAATGTAATATCTATACTTATATATTATGCTCGTTACAAATCATATTACCTCATGTTACAATAGGTACACTATTTAATTGAAAAATTACTGTGAATATCACCTAAAAAGAGGTTACCTGTGTTTTTTTAAAGGTAAAATTAATTTAAATCGCTTTACTGCGGGCAAATATTTAGGTACACTACAAACTGAGCCAAACGTGTCGTCAATCGAAACGGAATCATATTAAATTACAAACCAATGACAAACAAGACGCTCCAATGAATATTCTTCCGGACCATGGACCAAGTTAATATACCACGACTTCTAGATGTTGGTAGGAGTTCTATAATCATATTATCTTATAGTATTGAATATTGAATAAAATGGTTCCATTACATGATTTCCTATGTAGTTTTAAAAACATATGAAGCACTGCTATACATATTTTAGCTCAACTAGATTGTGGTACATATCAGTTTTGTCTATTATTTCTATACATATAATAAAATTATAACGAAGCTGAATCTGTATATTAAATATTTTTCGGAAAATCTTATTGAAATAGACGTTATTATCGATCAGAGGCTGAATCTATAGTTTTTAGAGTATTTGTCTGTCTGTCTGTTACCGCATCACGGAAAAACCATTGGAGGGATTTTGATGAAATTTGGTATGGTGATAGCTGGTTAGCCGGGTCAACATATAGGATACTTTTTACCAGAAAATGTCAAGAAGAAAATGTCTCATTTCTGAGAAAAAATACAAAAACTACAATGTAAGAGTATACTAATATGTAAAACCTAAGAATTTAATTTTTGGTCATTCAAACGCGGGCGGAGCCGCGGGCAATGCTAGTCTTGATATAAAAATTGTTTTATTCTTGACAATGGAACGGTAAATGTATTATTTAAAGTTTTATGAATGAAAATATATTGAAGTTTCTATTACCTGTGATTTTTAACACATTGGTATATCATACCTCTGCTTTACAAATAGATTAGGTACTTAAGATTTAGGGCCTATTCGCACAACGAGTTTTTAACGCGTCGACGCGTAGTGAATGCGCTGGCGCGTGCTTGATGTGCGTTTGTATCATTATAAACGCAAGGAATCTGCATTTTTTTCTTATTTTTTATGCAGAATATGTGAAGATTGCGTACGGTTATAACACGGTAATGTTATATATATATTATAATATTACCGTGGTTATGACATACGCGTCGTCGGCGCTGTGTCTTTTTTTTATTTATTTAACGAGAGGGAAATCTTCTAAAGATATCCAACCAACGTACGAGATGGTTAGGATATGTAGGATTTTTACCTACTAAAACCCCCTCGGTAAACATCTACTGCGTATAACGGAAAGCACCGGGATCTTCTAAGAACGCACCGGTCGGCGCTGTATCTATGCCGCGTTAAATTAACCTTCGTGTGCATAAGCACTTATTGGCAGATAACATCGGCCCGTCTCTCCCGTGTCCATTTTATACAAATCGGGAATAGGAAAATAAAAATAAAATAAAAAAATAGTTTTATTTAAAATATTACACCTTTTTCTTTTTTTGGCTTTTAGGTATTTCTTTTTAAATTTTAATATTAATTCGATTTTATTACCTAGTACCTACCACTTTATTAGTATACGTTTTTACCTTTATTTCTTATAAAGAACTTAAGGCAGTCAAAGTCAACTGGAATTATGAACAGTATAATCACGCTTATTATTACGGGCACTGACGCTCGTACTAAACTGCAACAAAGATACAGCAGGCTTAGTTAAGATTCTATATATCTAGCAATATACTCTATGGATTCTACAATCTCTTTTGATTAGATTTTTTTTTATTTAATAATCTTATTTTATCGATCTTTATTCTTGTCTTCTCCAGTCTACGTGACATTGGAGAATTATTCTATACTGAACTGGCACGCTTTGATGACAATTATTAAAAAGAGAAATGAATTGAATTGTATTTAGCCCTTTTTAACGTCCCACTGCAGGCCATAGTCCACCACGCTGGCTAAGTGCGGGTTGGCGGACTTCACACGTCTTTTGGAAACTTGCTAGGTTCTCTCAGACATGCAGGTTTCCTCACGATGTTTTCCTTCACCGTTAAGACAAGTAGTAACCATGTAGGAAATGATTCGCACACGAAAATATCAGAGGTGCGAGACCCTTGATTTGAACTCGCTTCACTCGGTTTCCCAAGCGAGCGCGTTACCACTGGGCTACCACTGCCTTGAATTTAATAGATTTTTTAAATATGTGGTCAAATAGCAAAGAACGTGACCAAAATTATTTTTTATTCGCTCAATTTGTGACAGAAATTATATTATTAATATATATTTAGTAAAAATCGTTACATTTTTTCGAAACAAAAAACCAATATTCACACAAAAAGCAAACATGTCCTTCAGGAGTTATTTAATAGAATTATCATTGTCTATTCAAAACATATTATCTATTTATTTATTTTTTAAGCTAATCATGTAAGAGTTGAATCTAATATCTTAAGTAATGTCACGGTAATATGCATTACATTACCGTGGTAATGTGATCCTTCATACATCTGCTTATCGGAATAGTATTTTTACAAAATTAATATTTACAAACGTATTTTACAGAATACAGATGGGTAATGGATTGTCTAATGATCCATTTCATCAGTAATGCAGCTTTATGATTTAATTAGAGCTTTAGTAAAGTTTGATTTTATACCAACCTTGTATTGGTTATATTAGCTAAGCTAGTCGCGCTTATGACAGTTTGGAGAATAGCTGTTAAAACAACTATTCCACTGATAATCTGGAACAAACACATACATACAAACAGGATACATACGTTACAATATACCTACATTTATGTATTCACTCGTCTATAGCCACTAAACAAAAATAAAGAAAGTCAGTAGACAAACAGACAGACAGTTTTTGCCTTTGCCTATTTGTAGGTATGTATATTGTATATACGTAGATAGTTATACTTAATAGTTTCAACTTTCAATCTTCATCTCTTTTCCTTGGAACTTAATGACTATAACTTGATTTTTTTTACTGTCTCATTTTATTCTCGATAAATTTATCATTAAATATGTCAGCTATACTTAACGTCTGATACAAAAAAAAAACCAATTTCATTATATCAAAATAAGAAAAACAATTGCCTTACTGCACCGATACTGTTACAAGTACAACACGAGACAAGCATTTAGAAATTTATATGATATTGGAGTCTGGAGAATACTTTCTTAGATTTAATCGACTTTTTTATATTTAAACGAATTTCTGACATGTTAACATGAAACTATCTTTTCAGATTTTGTCGCGGTATTGTCCAAAAATATAGTTTTTTTTTCATAACAATTAAAAATTGTACATACTTACACATATATCCACCGTTTTTGGGTAGGTACTAACGATATTGTAATAACACAGTTTTAAATAAAATTATCTTTTTCGAAAATTTTCGCGGATTATTTTTGGTTCCCAACGCTTCGAATGCTTTACAGCAATTGATGTTAAAGGAGAGACTCTAACAAAGTTTTAAGTATACAATATTGATTTTATGCTAACTATATTGTAATTTTATGCTAACTATATTGTAATCAGCCCTTTTTACGTCCCACTGCTGAGCACGGGCCTCCCTTCAATACGAGAGGGATCAGGCCATAGTCCACCACGCGGACCGAGTGCGGGTTGGCATATCTTTCAAAAACTTGCTAAATTCCCTCAGACATGCACGTTTCCTTACGATGTTTTCCTTCACCGTACGGCAAGTAGTAATCATGCTAGAAATGATTCGCACATGAAAATATCAGAGGTGCGAGACCCGGGATTTGAACCCGCATCACTTGGTTTCCCAAGCGAGCGCATTACCACTGGGCTATCACTGCCTAACTATATGCTAACTATATTATTAATCATTAATATTACCATCTCTTGAAATTTCATCTTTCCCATCTGTTCGTACTGAGTGTTCAGCAAAACAGTAATGTACTGCTCTTCCTCGCCCGTCAGTGAAGCTTGTAGAGCTGTATAGATTTGTACTCTAAAATATTATTATTTTTTCTAAAACGTTTTAAAAAAAACTTATTATGTCATCTGGTTATAGTAGCTTCAAATTTTAATTTTCGAAAAAACATAATATAAAAAAAAATCAAGACAATTTTTTTCCGATAATTCTAAAGTAAGAGACAATTTTTACAAAAAACCTAGGCATATAGGATCGAGTCTATTACTATAGATTACATAATATCTAATCTGATATCTTGTTCAAGGGAACAAACGCGCTAACTAACGCGCTGCGTTAGAAGTTCGCAGCTCTATAGAGAAAAGCGTGAGTATCATTAATGTACCTCCCATTTGGTCTAAGACATACTATTCCTATATTTAATTAATAAAATTATGAAGATAGCTCAGCTTTAAAAAAAGCATATTTTTGAACTAATTTTGATTTTTCGTTCCCGACGTTTCCAATGCTTTACAGCAATCATGGTCGCAGGACAGACAGACAGGAAGTAGATCGTTCCTAGGTTTTCTGGGTAGATCGATTCATAAAAAAACGGAGACAATGACATACAATTACTAAGGAAAATCTAAAATTAAAAAGAGAGAGAAAATATTTAATAACCTCAACATCCCTAAGAAATAAAAGTTCAACCACAAATAAAGGCACATCTCCATAATGAGTACTCCGGGCAAAGTGAGAAGCAAGTAGTGAGGGATTTCTAATCTCGGACTTTGTGGGAAAAGCCTTAAAAAATGATTGTATTTATATCAGTTATTAAAATATATGTATTCAGCCCTTTTTAGCGTCCCACTGCTGGGCACGGGCCTCCCTTCAATACGAGGGGGATGAGGTATGGTATTGATGGTCTTTCCAGAACTTGCTAGGTTCTCTCAGACATGCAAGTTTTCTGATCACAATTTTATATTTTAAATAATACTAATCTTTGGGAAAAAATCTCATATATGTACACTAAAAACTCATCTAAGTTAAAGTTCTCGTATTGTTATGTAAATTACTAGCGACTCTATGATATTACTATTATGATAGCTGATTATCCGGGTCAACATATAGGATACTTTTTACTACGGGAAAATATCTCATCTCTGAGAAATCTATACTGAATGTTAAAACATAACGAGGGATGAACCCGAGTGTACAGATAAACCAAAAACAATACAAAATTCCATTCAAATCTGTTTCTGAGATACATTCAATAAAAAATTTATATAAATACAAGAATTCTCATTTAATATTAAATTTCAATATTTTCAAACACACCCCGTAAATGTGTATTTCTAATAAATTTTTCCCAATAATAACCTATTTTTCCTTTGAGAAACATACCTAATCCAAGAAAATAAACATACATATTAATTTTCTTTATATATGTGTAGCAATTAAAATAGTAGTTAGTGGTAACGTGTTCGCTTAAAAGCTAAGTGGAGTGAGTTCAAACCCCGAGTCTCGCACCTCTGACCCTCTTATGTATAAATCATTTTTTATAAGATATAATAACTAAGCCGAATCTGTACATTAAACATTTTTTGGAAAATCTTATTGAAAAAGACTTGTTTATCGATACAGAGGCCGAATATATAGTTTTTAAAATTTTTGTCTGTCTGTCTGTCTGTTACCGCATCACAGAAAATCCACTGAAGGGATTTTGATGAAATTTGTTACGGTGATAGCTGTTTATCCGGGTCAACATGTAGGATACTTTTTACCGCGGGAAAATATCTCATTTCTGAGAAAAATACAAAAACTGCATTGTAAGAGTATACTAATATGTAAAACCTAAAAATTTGCTTTTTGGTCATCTGAACGCGGGCGGAGCCGCGGGCAATGCTAGTTTTTTTATATGACTACACTTCCTTTACTGCAAAAAGAAATCATTGTGAGGAAACTTGCATGTCTGAGAAAACCTAAATGATTTTCCAAAGACATGATCATCCATCTCAGTTAATTCACCATCATCAATTAGCTGTCCATAATCATAACTGGCAAAAAGCCATACATACGTATGGCTTTTTAGGGGTAGGTAAAGAACATAAGGATAGCATATGGATTTAGTACGTATAATGTGAATTGTAATCTTACAGCGAACAATAATTTCTTAGGAGTTGATTTGTTTCACTTCCAACTATGGTCGCCATTCCGCCTTAAATAATATAATAATAAATGTTTGAATATTATTATTTAATTATCATGCTTTTATTAGCATCACTTGTAACTAACACTGTATAATTTAATGTCAAATTATAATCAATATTATTTTTTAATGTATACATATTGAGGTAATAAATGATAAAAGTTATCTTAAAAATAAAAACATTTTTTTTAAAGCTCCCCCATGTTGGATAGGTGCATGATATAGTCTAAAATTTAAATAACTATTAAATAATTAATGTTTATTTACATCTACACTACTATTATTAAGAGGAAAGATTTGTATTTTTGTGTGTTTGTAACGAATAAACTCAAAAACTACCGGACCGATTTAAATGACAGATCAGAAGATAGTTTGAGACCCTGGAAAAGACATAAGATATTTTTTATTCCGGAAATCATCCCTTAAGGTGAAATTGGGGATAAAAGTTTGTATGGGGAATCAACCTAGGGATGAACCCGAGTCCCCCCCAACGTGCGTTCACCTTGTCGTGGTGGGGGGGCTCAGTAGTGCCCGGCGACCCAACCGGGCGCGAAGCCAAGAAACGCACAGGGAGGTGGCCCACTTCGGTGGGCGGTGGGAGGTGGCCCTCTCGGAGGGCAGTGTACCATGCGGGTTGCTCCTGGTACTTCTCTGATAGCAGAGTGGACTGTAGAGCAACCCCGTGGTTGTTGTGGTCTGCTTCGGCAGACCTGCCGTCGGGGCGTCGTAGTTGAATGCGTAAGCGATCCTGCGACGCCCCATTAAGACGGGGGAAGGCTTTGTTGGGTTTTAGTGGGTAGTACTGGCTTTGCCGGTGAGTCCCACACCTCGTGCGTAAATGCATTTCCCAACCCGAGCAAAGCGCGGGTGAGTCGCTAGTTTGCTTATATACCATTATTATATTATATACCATTATTACCATTATTATAGAACATTAGCATGTTCAAAATGTAAAATATTATATTTTTTTTATATATCTAGTACAAAACGTAACTTACCTATGGACGATGAATATGCAATGCCAAGAAAATAAAAGACAGTGAAGTCAGTTGGCCTCTGCACCCTGAAACCTTTTGTCATTAACGTACTTACAAATTATAATTAATAATTAATTATATCTTTGTCTTTATTACCAATACTAACAATTCATCATTTTGATTTAATTCCACAGTAATTTCACGTGTCTCTAATATCCCCATCTGCAATAATGTATTGAATACTGTAATTAGTTGCAAATGTCGGTAAATTGGCGCCAAAAGTGGGTCATGTGTAACATGTTTCAGTTATGAAATAATACTAGTGTTCGCCTATCGGTCGAAATTCGACCATAATTATTATTAAAAATTATAAATAATAATTATAAAAAATACTGAAAATTAAATAATAATTTATAAATAATACTGAAATGTTTTATTTTGTCTTTGCCTATCAATATAAAGAAAGTTTTTTTTGGACCCAGTTATGCAAAAAACAGCCATGTGCGTAAAAGTACCAACAGAGTTATAAGCATTTTTCTGTCGAAAGTTGCACTTGGGTTATGTTTTGTTTTTCTGGTTATTTTAAAATTGAACAATATTTATATAAGTATTGTTTATTTTTTATAAATTTTTTTTTATAATAAAATGCTTATCCTTCCTTTTATCGATAACGCTAAAGCTCGTCAATAGACTACTATTAAATTAATTATTATTATGCTACTAAATAAAAGCAAGGAAAATCAGTTGAAAAACAGAAGAAATAGGATCTGAACTGTTTTTTTTTGTTTTTGTCTATTTATATATAGACTTTAACCTCAATTTTTGTTTACTTCTGGGCCTTTGGATCGACGATTAATTTAAAAAATATAATAATAATAAATATAAACAATGTTCACAAATTAGAAATAAAAATATATATTGTTAAGGTCATATATATGCTTTAATGAGCAGGCAATATTATTTAATACTTTCAAATTTCCTTTAGAAATGTATAACTTAAAAATACAAATTACAATATATTTTAAGTCCTTATATAACCAAAAATTCTAAGTATAATTATCATAAATCGTGTAATCAACAATTTATGGTTAATTTCTACCTTTTCTAGTTCCTTAAGAATTCCTTTAACTAAAGGTATCATCAGACCACACGTCATGGTGTTACTGAGCCACATTGAGAGTATCATAGTGGTAAAAAATAATATAAAGCTTAATCTGTAATAAAGTACTTACATATTAGTTACAGATATTTATTAATCTTACACATATTTTAGTTTAGTCTATGCTGACATCTATATTATAATATAATTAAGAGGCAGAGTTTGTTTGTTTGTTTGTTTGTTTAAGCGCGGTAATCTCAGGAACTACTAATCCGATTTGAAAATATCTTTTTGCGTAAGATAGCCCGTTTATTGAATAGTTTCTGACAGCTTTGTCTATTTCTTTGTCTGTCTACTATAATTTTAATCTCACTTCATAGAAATAGCTTCATCGATTTGCTAAAAGCCTAATTTAATACCTAAGATTTAGAGAATAAGATTGGCGGAATATGACATAAACACATTCTAGATTCAGATAAGTTTTTATAATAAAAGTCAGCAGCAAAAGTTATTATAACTTTGTTTATTTTTCAACACCATTTCAGGCTTTCTACTATTTTTTCCAGCTCCATCTTATTTTCTTTAATATGATTACATAAAAACTGTAAAGCCTAGTTCGCATTAAGCTAGTATTTTAGTCTAGTAGCGAGTAATTTAGTAACTAAACGTGTCTGAACACTAAAAATTTAGTCGATTAGTTTAGTAAGTAATTTAGTCGAGTCAATCCATTTTATTCTATTTTTTTGGGCGAGTAGCAGCCCCCACCACGCGTCCGAGCTCACTGGTTCACCGGCTAAACAAGTACGAACCTGTCGAATTAGTCGAGTTCATTAGTTGCCGCTGAATTTGAGTGTATTTACATTAACAGAAAATTTACACAACTTTCGGACATTCTCAAACTATCGAAGTATTCTTTGGGATCTTCCAATACTAATTCCTTCAGAAGACAATTAGTAGCTCCTAGTTTATCTCGTCTTTCGATCCATTTTCGTACCCATAGCTTCTTTTTATTAATCACACAATCACCTCATCCACCTCTTCTAAAATAGCCGTTACGATCAGCTTAATCAGTTTATTTACTTTATTGCGTTGTAGGCTGTTCATCTTGAAAAACACCACTCACTTGTAAACTGTACTCGACCAAAGTGCGAACGATTTTTGGTGAGTAGCGAGTAATTTAGCTACTAAATTACTCGCTACTAGACTAAAATACTAGCTTAATGCGAACTAGGCTTAAGTGCCATTCTAAATGTCAACAAAGAAATAATAAAACTTTATTGCGATAATAAAAACTTGCCTAAAATGTGAGCATCCAAATAAAAGTAGTATTTTTATAGCAGCCCTTCTATGTATGTGGCTTTGTTCAATTGCTATGATCACCATCATAACGCCTAAACAATCCAACACTGAATTACCTATGTTTATCTACAAAGGGAAGTAAAATTAATTTATGCTAAGTTAAATATTTAATTAATTCATTAATTATATTGGAGTTAATATGAAAATTAAAACTTATATTCATGATTACAAATTAGATTAGACTATAAAGTACCTACTTCTTTTGTCTATACCAGTGACCACTATTACAATTAAAAAGTTTAGTGGGAAAAATCTAATGAATAAGCGAAAATAAGTAAGCTAGAATGTTAACCGTATTAATTAATTTTATATCAAAAGATCCCAAAATGGTAATAAATGCAACCGTAATAAGTGATGTGACGCCTGGGTGTAAAACATTCGCAATCCAATATACAGCGGTCACAAGAAAGATGTAGAAGCTTATATATGCCTGATGGGTGAATAAACCGTTGTTCAGGATTAATCAGAATTAATGTGTGATAGTATAAAATATATTAATTCTAACACTACTAACAGTAACTATGCAGTGGTATATTACAAAGATCTACTTAGGTACTATATACCCGAGATGGTCGTCAAACTAACTTATTTTTTTATATTGTTGTTTTAAGATCTTACATTTTTGATTTTGTAATTTCCAGTTTAGTTTTTACAAACGAATTTATTCTACCTAAATAATAATTAATATTCTGAATATTTACATTATCAGTTCCTATTGTTGCAATTGGTAATAGAAGAAGAGGCGTAAACAAAAGTATTAGTGTACGTAAATAAACCTTAACAAATCTCAGAATTTTGTTCCTTTGCGTTATTATAACTAAATTACTTTGGCTGTAAAGTAAATAAAATGATTATATTTAATAATTAAATTATAATTTATTGAATTTAATTACGTTAAAAAAACTTACGACACATGAGAATCCATTATCATATTGTCTAATATTTATTTAACATTAAATCTAATTGGCTAAGTTTTATAGAGACATTATTTCAGAAACATTATTAAAGAGACAATTTTTTTAAGTATTTACTGTACAAAAATTATTGTGTATTTTTTCTACATCAATATTGAATTACAAAGATTTAAAAATGCTAATTATTAATAATAATATAATAAGACTTCAATTTATAATTCTGAAAATTTTTCCTTTTGGCAACACTATCCGAGCTCAAATAGCAAGAATTCGAATCTAAAAAAAGCGCACAAGGCCGTTCGTAGTCGGTGTCGATCAATTCTTAAATTCATTCGCTTTAGTTGTCAAATTACTCGTGTTAAGGTTGGATGTATCTCATCCAACAAAATATCGCGTAAATATCGTAAATAATATATTTAAATTCAGTTTTAAATAATGCCTGTGGACTTGGAATATGACTTCGACGCGGCTGTAGCGTCTATGGATATATTTTCTCAAACAGATTTTGATCGTGTAAAAGATTGGACACAAAAATTGGATAAATCAAAATATGTGCCTAAAGATATGACGGATAAACAATTACTATTATTTTATAATGCTTGTTATGGAGATGTGGAGAAAACTAAGGCGTGTATAGAAAAATATTATAATCTAAGAAAAAATACACCAGAAATGTTTGACAACAGAATTATAGGAAGTGATGAATTGCAGCCGTCTATCGATGCATTGTAAGTTCCTCTTTTTGTATAGAAATCATCCACAAAGAAATTTGATATATAAAATCTAATGAAGTTATTGAGTAAAATATTTTTTGTTAGTTTAAAATATAGGCAGTATTGTTCTACTAATATTATTATTCCAAAAGTTTGTGCGGATGGATGGCTGGATGAATGTATCTTTGTTACTCTTTCACGCAAAAACTACTGAACCGATTTTGATGAAACTTTACAGTAACATAGCTTGTATATCAGAGGACGCATAGCCTATAGTTTATAAAGATATAATACATGTATGTAGGTAGGACTGCAAGAGACCGCTAGTCATGATTAAATTAATAAATTTTATTTACTAATTTGCTATCTACTGATTAATACATGTTATGCTCAAAAAGCCAATATTTCATTGCAGTCTTCTTTCATAATCTATTTTGTTACTTGTTCTTTTATCATTTTAATTAATATTTTAAATGTATTACATAAAAACATACATTTATTATGAATAATTGTTTTATTTAACACTTATTTTCTTTTTTAATAATATATTCATCATAATCTAGAATTTAATCTTTTATTAATCACATATATAAAAATATAACATTTTTTTTTTAATATAGTAAAGTTGGACATTTTTTAAATATTGAATGAGGTAGTAGCACTAATTTGTTTTTTACTGTATACAATAAATGTGAAACATGATAAGAGAAAAGGCTATATCAAAAGTAATGAATAAAAATGACCAATATTTTTATTTCAAATATTTAAATGTAATTGCTGTAAATAATTTAATATTTATTATAATATTGTTAGTCATTAGCCGTGATAGAGCAGTTATAAATCCTAATCTTTATATGCACCTATTAAATATTCATATTTTTATTATAGTGTTGAAATATTGTATGCTGAATGCATATATTAAATACATCGTTATTTCAACATTATTCAGATATGTGTACAAAATATATAATCAGTAAATAAGATTATTACTCCAATAGCCACAAATAATTTCATATATATCAAATCTTTAATCCCTCCACGACCGCGGACACGCCGGCGTATCAGTTAACAATAGATTTCTTAGAATTTTAATTAATTTCTTAGAAATTTACCTGGAGGTGTTAACTATACTTGTTCCGTGGGAATATTCCCATGGAATACAGGATTGAAGCATAGTTGTCTTTATCTGTGAGTTGTTAAGCCATTCTTCTTCTTCCTTTTCCTTTGACCTTTCTTGTGATAAAAAGAAAAACCCCTGGAACAACCTTGACAAAAGCTCATATCCTTATCTATATATCATTAAATCAATTTATGCTGTTCTGAAAATGAACTACGAGCAAATAGATATTTTTTTTAATTTCTTTAAATATTGTGCTAAATAACAGACAGACACATTAAGTGCCTATGTATTTAGTTACCTTATTCTTGAGCTATAACTGCAAAATCACATACCATATATGTATATACATTAGCACAGTATACAAAAGCTAATGGTTTGAAGACAACCTTCAGTTTTGTGTTTACAGAATATTTGTTTTATATTTTAAGCTTAACGATGCGCATCGATCGATCTGACCCTGACTTTGTTTCTCGAGGTATTCAACTACTTACGATGCCATAAGATGTTTTTTATTGTATCTTTCATAGTAATGACAGAATAATCTATACTAATATTATAAAGAGGTAAAGTTTGTGAGTTTGTGAGGTTGTAGGGGGTAATCTCTGGATCTACTGAACCGATTTAGATGAAATTTTGTAAGAAGATAGTTTGAGACCCTGGGAAGGACATAGGATACTTTTTATCCCGGAAATCATCCCTTAAGCTGGTGAAAATGGGGATGAAGATTTGCATGGGGAACCAACCTAAAGACGAACCCGAGCGATACGAGGGTGGAACGCTTGTATTGAATTAATACTGAATCGTTAAATGGTTAAAATGCAATATGGTGCGATATTAGTCTGGCCTATTTATCTAACATACTAGCGACTTTTACGCACATCATTCGGGTGCGATCCTAGGTGCCCAATAATAGCCTATGTGTTACTACAGGTACACATGAAATTTATAGATTTTTTTCTCATTTAATTTTTTTTTATTATTTTTTTTTCTAAAATTAATATTTCTTCCTTACTTTCGTCGGTTTTTCGCGATTATCTCCGAATTGTTTACCGTTTTCAAACCGTTCGAGACTCGAGTGCGATATCTCGATAATATAATCTTTGGAAAAAAAAAGCTTTAAATAAAAAAGATAAGAAATTTTCATGAACGAATTAGAAACTAATTCGTTCATGGAAATTTCATTTAAAGGGAAAAGTTTTCCATAATTTTTTTTTGTAGGAAGTTACTTAATTGTTGAAAAAAACGTTAACGATTAATAATCGTTATTAACTAACGGATTAAATATAATAAAATTAACGATAAAAAAACGCTAACGTTGTAAACGTTGAATTAAACACGTTTTTGGTGATAGAGGCGCCAACGCCTCTCGAACGACATCTCAAACTTGACTTTAGCACGGTAATATATGCATTACATTACCGTGGCTTTAGACTTAGAAAATGCCCGTTTATCGAATGTCAATATCGAGGAAATTGCTTTATTATACATAGATTCATTCACCTATTGACTGTACTATTTAGGTTTTTAAAGCGAGAATGTTGCCACTCTGCTTTTACTATATACAATGTAACATTTTGAATACAAAGCATAAAAATTCCATTGCAATTACATATAGCGATATCTCTAAGAAAACCAACGTCAATAATAAAAATAAATTAATTCAAATTATGCGTAAAGCTAGTTCGTGTTAATTGTAATACACTGATATACAAGTACAAGTAGTATAAGAGCATATACAACGCAAAAATATTTACATAGTCGCTGTCCTGCAGTGGTTATAGTGTCTAAAAAACGCCGGGCAAAGCTTAGTGGTCCATGTACTAATATTACACATTTAATTTTTTTTTTAAATCTTTAGTCCGCTGTATTTTGATTAGTTTTTTTATAATTAAATAACATTTTTTAGACACAGATTTAATCTCATAAAGCGGTGTAGATACTTTGTACTTTGTTTTACACTTTACAGATTTTTTAATTTTAACATGTCCAGGTAAATTTCTAAGAAATTAATTAAAAATCTAAGAAATCTATTGTTAACTGACACGCCGGCGTGTCCGCGGTCGTGGAGGGATTAATAAAAAAAACTTAATTATTTTTGCCATATTACATTATAAGGACTTATAGTTTTTACCAGTTGAAAATAAAGGCATTTTGGCATAGGTCACTCCAAGAGACAGAACGAACCGCTATATTAATATCATCATTCATCTTCATGGTATCATAATATTATTATAGTATCATCTGAATTTTTTATACTTAAATTTTCTAATCAATACCTACGCTAAAATAAATGAAAATCGAGTCGTCGAGTCGATTTTTTGATTTGATTGCCTATAGGTTTGGTAATCGATTGAAGCTAGTTCAAATCCCGGGTCTCGCATCTCTGATATTTTCATGTGCGAATCATTTCCAACTTGATTACCACTTGTCTTACGGTGAAACAAACCGTCGTGGTGGACTATAGCCTAATCCCCTCGTATTGAAGGCAGGCCCGTGTCCAGCAGTATGACGTCAAAAAGAGCTGAACGCACTATTGTTCGGTTGTTACTAGTGATAATAATAAAAGTATATTAAAAATTGTTTTAGGAAGCTTTTTATAAATCACTAGCATTGCCCGCGGCTCCGCTCGCGTTAAGATAACCGAAAACCAAATTCTTAGGTTTTACAGATTAGTATACTCTTACATTGCAGCTTTTGCATTTTTACTCAGAAATGAGATATTTTCCCGCGGTAAAAAGTATCCTATATGTTGATCTGGATAACCAGCTATTACTATACCAAATTTGTGGTTTTTCTGTGATGCGGTAACAGACAGAGAGACAGACAGACAGACAACAATTCTAAAAAGTATAGATTCGGCCTCTGTATCGATAATAATGTTTATTCCAATAAGATTTTCCAAAACATATTTAATGTACAGATTCGGCTTAGTTACAATTTTATTACATATATGTATAGATAACATAGTTATGGATAATGGAAATGATCAACAACAGTTTGTACGGTTTTAACTCAAACGGTACGAAAATATTATTTTTTGTTTAAATTTAATATTAAATCAAAAGTATGTATAATGCAGACTTAACAGACAATTTACTCTGTAATAAAAAAATTTACATAAAAATTTTCCATTATAAGAAACCTTGTTATTTCCATAACTATTCTTATTTCTGTACTACGTAATGTTTACGCAATTTTATAATTTTTATATACAGTAAAAAAAATCATACAGTCGGTGATCGGTCATTGATTTTAACGGAAATGCTGTCAAATGCAAGGGTTTTTAGAAAATATCAATTTTCGTAGCGAACGGTGTCGAAGTCATAGTAAGTGCTTTAGTGCCATTCCGTGGCAAATTAAAATTATACCCGTCAACCCTAAAGCCGTTTCCCGAATGTCATACAAAAATAAGTTTAATCGGTATCGAGTCCTTCGCCTTCTTATCTTGCACGTCCCACTGATAAGAGGCTTTAGTTAGACGACTGTTGGCCGATTTCACCAACGTCACCAAGTTTAAGGGATCCCCTAAGCATGGTTAGGGGGCTGTTAGGGGGCAGTTTCTGTTTCACCGACAGTTAGGGATCACCTTAGTGTTAAAATGTCACCTAAAATAGGTACTAGAAATACGGGCTCTGATGATGGTAAAACGAAATTTAATTTAGGGGCTAGTTTATGGGAACTTTTAAGCTAGGGATCCCATACGTAGGTGGTAGCTTAAGTGAAATTGGTGAAATCGGGCATGTACGAGTATCTTGGATTATTAGACTGCAGTCATAGCGTAATACGTATTAGGTGCACTTTTATTATTTATTCGCGAAATACTTTGCTGGTGCAAATTTGTGGGATTACTAATAGTTGATATTCACGCAGGATAACAATATATTTATTGTATTGATTTGACGACACGTTTAGCTCAGTTTGTACTGACCCAACTTGCTGCGCCAGCGGTCGCGGGCTTGAGTCCCGCTGGGGGCATTCATTTGTGTGGTGAACACGAATGTTTGTACTCCAGTCATGGGTGTTTATATTTATAATATGTATGTATTTAAAGTTATATATGTATAATTTATCAACTATCTGGTATCCATAAGACAAGCCTCGTAGCTTACCATGGAACTAGATGGTGTTGTGTGTTAATGTCCTGACAAATATTTACTCATAGATTGTAAATTGTAAATATATTTCAAAAGAGCAACTGTTGAGTTTCTCGCCGGCTCTTCTCAGCAGAACTGCCTTCCGAGCCGGTGGTAGATTCTACACGGACTGATTACACTGACATTTAATTTAAATTTAAAATGCGAAATTGATTATTCAAATGTGCTTGTAAAGTATATTTTGATTTGATTAATTAAGTTTAGTTGTAACTACCTACGATAATAAATCTGCGAAGTCCACTTTATTTTTTCGTCTATTCGATTGCTTTAATCTAACGACAGAAATGAAGAACGTGTTTTTTATTGGTTTGTTCAAAATTATGATTCTTCTATACGTACTAGCATTGCCCGCGGCTCCGCCCGCGTTCAGATGATCAAGAACCAAATTCTTAGTTTTATTAGTATACTCTTACAATGCAGTTTTTGTATTTTTTCTCAAAAATGAGATATTTTCCCGCGGTAAAAAGTATCCTATATGTTGACCCGGATAACCAGCTATCATCATACCAAATTTCATCAAAATCTGTCCTGTGGTTTTCTCGTGATGCGGTAACAGACAGACAGACAAAAATTCTAAAAACTATAGATTCGGACTCTGTATCGATAATAATGTCTTTTTCAATTAGATTTTCCAAAAAATATTTAATGTACCGATTCGACTTAGTTACAATTTTATTATATGTATAGATTATATGTATTAATTTTGTTACCTTGCATACATTTTATTATAATTTTATTTTATTAAGGTAGGAATCTTTAAATTGACATAACTTTATTATTTATCAACCGATTGAAATAAAACAATTACTAAATTTTAAGTGAAGCTTACCACAATACATTAGTGTAAACCGCACCCAAATCCGTTAAGCCGTTTCTGAGATTAGCGCGCACAAAGGCACAGACAAACAGATGTTTTTTGTTCTACTGCGTTAATAAAGACCCTCTGATAATAATTTTTCTCAAATGTCTTTCATGTATAGACAGCGATGGGCTACCATTTTGTTATATGTATAGATTCTGGATATATCATAGTGATTCTCGTATTTGATGAGATCGTTTAGTAAGAAGGGCTAGTTAGGGCTACTTAAGCTCTATAATTGAATCTACTGAATTAAGTGAAATAAAAATTTTGTCCATCGCTCTCATCTTAGGTAAGCGAGACGACGATGGTAGATTGTCTATGTTGGTGCACATGACACAATCTATGTCCTTGATAAATTTCATCAAAACCTGTGCATCGATTTTAACTTGATAAGGGAACATACAAACAGACAGTTTTACTTTTGTATTATTAGTAATTAGTAAATACATATTGATCGTGTGTATCTTCTAGTTGTCCTTCTGCATTATAGAATTATTCTTGAAAAAAAAAAGAAATTTTCTTTTTTCTTGTAAATTCGCATTACAAATATTAAGGCCGAGAGCGTTTAAATTATTCAATTTACCAACTCAGCCCTAAACCTTTTTTGTATGCCTACATCTATAATACAACTGTATACTTAATGATGTACGCATAAAACAGCTCTATTTCTAGGCACAAGACCGGTATAAAAGGCCAAAGGTTGCGTTATAAAATTAGTTATTATATTCACTTTGTACACATTGTACAATTTTATTATATGTATAGATATTGTTACTAACTTGTGCACGCGGCTTTACTTGCTTAGTGTCAATATCTTCATCATGATTATCGAAACACTTTAATGTTCCAATGCTGGGCACCGGCCTCCCTTCAATACGAGAGGTATAGTTAGTCTACGACACTACCAAGTGCATGTTAGCAGACTTCATTTATCTTTTGAAAACCAGTTATGTTCTCTTAGACATGCAGGTTTCCTCACAATATTTTCCTTTACCGTAGTAAGGTAACATGCGATATCCGGAGCTTGAACTTGCTTCCCTTGATTTTCCATCCCACCACTGGGTTAACATTACTTCCCTTGATTTATTGTTGTATAACTGCTTCATCCCTGAAGGTCGAAACGTGATGTGACAGCAATGCCTAGTCAATCTATGTAGATTTACTCAATAAATAGGTTATAAAATGCAATATTTGCAAATGAGGACTGTTCTAGTTCTAGAGATAAGCGCGATTCAACAAACAAAAAAACAACGAATTTCTTCAGATTCAATATATATATATATATATATATATATATATATATATATATATATATATATATATATATAATGTATATTATATCATACATCCTTAATACTATTAAGGATGATGCCCGCATTCTACCTAGGAGGTTTTTAAAACCTTTTTTTAACACTTTCTTAGATTTACGCGAATATTTTACATTTTAAATAAAACTATATTTTCGGATTTTTTCGCGGATTTATTTTGATTTTTATTTCGTTTAATTAAATTTATTTAAACAGTTAGATAGGTATTACTTAATAAAACCTCTGCCAGTCCTGACTCCTGAGAAGTACTGCCGAAAGTGACTAAGCAAGATTATAATATGTAGATATTCTTTAATTACTTATTTTTTTACATTATCTGTGAATGACCTGACTTTAAAAAAAAATAACAGTTCCTAATTTTTTTCGATTGTGTGGATTGATCAATAATACATATATCAATTGATTAATTATTATTATCAATTATGTATTTAATAACAAAAACATATAAGATATATATATATATAAATATATATATATATATATTTAAACGAGGATAACTATTTTATTCTTATTTTTCACAGGGAATTTTCCGCGCTTCCAGAAAAGTCGTGCGAGGGCTACGATTTGATCTTCCATCGGCTTCATTACACTGAACCTTCCAAGTACTACTTCGAAGCTGGCTGTAAACTACTCTTTATGACCGTGGGTAAGTTAAATTGGACCGCTTATAGTCTTATGCTACTACTATGCGAAAGCTTGAATGTTTGTGTATATTTGTACCGGATTATGGTAGGGAAGCCCAAGAGGGTATTTTTACAGTTACTCAATATATATATATATATATATATATATATATATATATAAACATAAACTTTATAGTCGATTTATGCCTCTACGTTTTGTGCGAATCGGCAGATTATTTAATTGCACACTTTTCAGGATGTAATTAGCCCACCATACCCTAATCTGACGGTTTCAAGTATTTCTACCTTATCAAAAAAAAACTAATATTTTGATCGGCTGCCCTAGACGGGCGCCCTTATATAGAGGACTTATATTATGGTGGACATATTCAACAGAGTGCAAGATATCCCCCCCTTATGTTAATCTGCCGCGCTTGAGTAACTGCAAAAATTCCCTCTTGGGCTCCTCTACTATAGCTAGTAGTCTTGGAAGCTTTGCCACTTTGAAGCGAGAATTCCGGTTTGGATGAAATTTATTAAACAAATAAACTATGACCCCGAGGAACACATAGGCTGTTATATGGCACCTTAGCTAGTAATGTTATATAATTAACTAGTATTACCCGCGACTCCGCCCGCGTTCATATGACCAAAACCAAAGTCTTAGGTTTTATATATTAGTATACTCGTATTAGTATATTAGTTGACCCGGATAACCAGCTATTACCATACCAAATTTCATCAAATCCCTCCAGTGGTTTTTCTGTGATGCGGTAACAGACAAACAGACAGACAGACAGACAAACATTGTATAAAATATAGATTCGGCCTCTATCGATAATAATGTTTATTTCAATGAGATTTTCCAAAAAATATTTAGTGTACAGATTCGAATTAGTTAGAATTTTATTATATGTATAGATTATTTAATTATATTATATCGTTAAGTAGGCGTTATTTAAGAGTAGAATGTTTAAAATGTTTATTTAGTACATATTTGAAAATTAGATTTTGACCTAGTCTACGACCGACCTAAATATTTACGCTGGTGGTTAGGCAAGCGAGCTCGTGCCATATTCAGAGTGCCATATTCGGTCTCTTAATCATCACCTTTTTCGGCGTTTCGTATAAACGTAGTGTATTTTTTAAGTATGTATCTACAATTTAGGTTTGATTCTTATGTTATGCATTTTATATAGATGTATTCTTATGATTAAAATTGTTAATAAATATGTAAGTTTTATTTGTATGTTTTGTGGCTTGAACCGGGTCCCAAACATTTTGTCGTTTTTATTTTTATAACAGTAGCGGCGCACGATGCATCTTGTGTGTATAGATAAACGACACTACAAAAAAAATGCCATTGTTTTAGATTTACGACACGTTTGGCTCAGTTTGTAGTGACCCTTGACTACTTGTTGTGCCAGCGGTCGCGGGTTCGAGTCCCGCTGGGGGGAGTTCATTTGTGTGATGAGCACGAATGTTTGTGCTCCAGTCACGGATGTTTATACATATTTATATTATGTATGAATTTAAAAGTTATATGTGTAGTGTGTTATAAATGATTAGAAGTTGACAATGCCGCAAAGATTATATTCCCTCTCTCCAGATGCCTTTATTATTTTCAAAGCACATTTATTGTTTAAATTAAATATTAAATATATTACCTACTTAATATCTATGTTGGTTGGTGATTAGATGACCTCTTGAACCTGTCGATGTGCGGAAACGTTAAAGTTTTTAATATTCGACGTAATATTTTTTATTATCGGCTCTTTTACATTAACTTTATAAGATTACACTAGCATTGCCCGCGGTTCCACCCGCGTTCAGATGACCAAAAACCAAATTCTTAGGTTTAATATATTAGTATAGTACCCTTACAATGCAGTTTTTGTATTTTTTCTCAGAAATGAGATATTTTTTCCGCGGTAAAAAGTATCCTATATGTTGACCTGGATAACCAGCTATCATCATACCAAATTTCATCAAAATCCCTCCAGTGGTTTTTCCGTGATGCGGTAACAGACAGACAGACAAAAATTCTAAAAACTATAGATTCGGCCTCTGTATCTATAATAATGTCTATTTTAATAAGATTTCCCAAAAAAATATTTAATGTAGGTACATATTCGGCTTAGTTACAATTTTATTATATATATAGATTTGCAATTTGAATACTAGCATGATATCGTGTCGATCCATCTAAACCTAAGGCATTTTATGGTGGATTCCAATAACCTATCTTTCCATGGTTTTTCTTGCTAAAAATAGAAATGTCACATAAGCTCCATACAAAATATGTCAAATACCTATATTTAGTATCAAGAACCACAAATAGATAGGTTATTGTGCTTCGGGCTACCAGTTTGTTTACAAGATGGCGTGGTAGTGAAATGTTAAAACTCTAACATCCTACTAATATTATAAACGCGAAAGTTTGTAAGAATGTATGTACCTATTAATGTATGTTTGTTACTCTTTCACGCCAGAACGGCTGAACGGATCTGGATGAAATTTAGCACAGAAATAGATTAAATCCTGGAATAACACATAGGCTACTTTTTATCTCAGAAAAATATACGGTTCCCAAGGGATAGATTTGTATTTGTTTTTCTAGAGAACCCGAGCGAAGCGAGGGTGAAACGCTAGCATTACAATATCAAGAACTAATATAATTTAAAAATTCAAGTATTCAAATTCAAGTAGGAATTTAACATTGGCTTAGAAAGTTGCACTCAAATGTTGGTTAAGTTGCGTTGCAAAAAAGCTTTTTGAAAGTTTTCGGACGATATCCTGTTGTAGAAACTAGAAACGTAAATATACATATAATAAAATTTTAAGTGAGTTGAATCTGTAGGTACCTACATTAAATATTTTTGGGAAAATCTTATTGAAATAGACATTATTCCGTATATACAGAGGCCGAATCAATATTTTTTAGAATTTTTGTTTGTCTATGTGTCTGTCTGTCGGTCCGTCCGTCTGTCTGTCTGACTTTTTACTGCGGGAAAAATATCTTATATCTAAGTAATATATAGTAAACGTTAAAACGTATCTACAAAATATTATTTAAAGATTTATTGTTATTACTTAAAATTATCCCATATCGAAAGACTCACTCAATGGCCCTCAATTACTGAGGAAAGTTATTGAGCATACTTATCTTGAGACACAAACGGTTTAGATAAAAAATTGCTGGCAAATAGAATTAATAGCCGTTTATTCGCAATTTTTGTATTTAATTAAACTTTAGTATCGGAATTAAATTACCTACTTCGAAATAATGCTTGTCTTTGTATTCAATCCCACTATATCGACGTTGATGATTAGTTGGGGTGGTCTATTGGCTAGCATATACGGCCGCAGATCCTGGGTTCGAGTCACGAGTCGGGCCAAGTTCTGTTATTAATTTTCAGTAACGAACCGGAGTTGGGAAGTTGGCGCTGTTTCACCCCAGTGCTTCGGAGAGTACCTACATAAAGCCGTCGGTCCTGCGCCTTAACTCTCACCGGTCGTGTCGAAGTATCGTGCCATCGAACTTTGAGAGTTACAGGAATAGAGAGAACATCTCCTGCGCGGCTAGTCTCAATAAGATTGGCCGCCGTGGTCGAAATCGGTCAGGAGGACACCACAAGTAGGGTATTTGGCTTATGCCAAATTATTTTGGCACGTGTATTTATTTAGTAGCTAAGACTTGGAGTCAAAATAATATACCCCGTAGGTATAGGAAAATGACTAGATCTTGGAGAGATAGAGATTGGAAATTTTATTTCTAACTCACTTCTGCGTTAAAAATACTCGGATCGAACTATTTTTTTTTTTGAAATGTTCGGTAGTAAAATTGGGTTTTCGATGGTTCAAAATGTTTTTGATTGCAAGTAGAACACACCACTTGTTTCTTACAAATGATTTTGCCCGGCAATATTTTATTTAAAACATTGTAATTATTGCCCTATGACATTCTTATGTTTTAAAGTTAAATAAAATTTCATCAAAATCCCTCCAGTGGTTTTTCCATGATGCGGTTAAACAGACTGACAGACAGACAAAAATTCTAAAAACTATAGATTTGGCCTGTGTATCGATAATAAATAATAATGTCAATTTCAATAAAATTTTCAAAAAAATATTTAATGTACGGATTCGGCTTGTTACAATTTTATTATAAGTATAGATTATGATGACGGGATGAGACAGGGTTTTTACTTTTTATCCGTGACTTCGTGGTGGGTAATAAAAAAAACCTAGGATATATGAGCTACCTTCCATTTATAGCTTTATAAAACAACAACCACACACTCTCAAAACACTTTTCACTTATAATATTAGTATGTAAGTAGGTGACCATCCAAAGAAACTAGTTTAAAGAGTACCTAAAGGGTACTTTCGATGATCGATTTTTAATTAGACCATATACAAAGCCTAGTTTTGATCTTAAACTTAGCAGGTACTACCTAGTACCTGTTAAGTTTAAGGTCAATAGAATAGATGGTTATGTACCTACATAACCAACAGTTCTGTACCAGACTTTACGTTAGCGACAACATATGTGTAATATATGTATAATGTATAATATACAGGTCAACTGCCTCGGTGGTGTAGTGGCTAGCATGTACGGCTGCACACCCGGAGGTTCTGGGTTCGAGTCCCGGGTCGGGCCAAGTTTAGTTATTGAGTTTTTCTGTAAAGTAAACCTCAGTAACAGCCCGGAGTTGGAAAGTTGGCGGTGTTTCACCCCCGTGCCTCGGAGAGCACGTAAAGCCGTCGGTCCTGCGCCTTAACTCTCACCGGTCGTGTCGAGTGGTCGTCCCACCGGAGTATGAGAGTGATAGGAATAGGGAGTGCACTTGTGTCTGCGCGTACAATTGAGCACTATAATATCTCCTGCGCAGTTGGCTAATCTCATTGAGATTGGCCGCCGTGGCCGGAATCGGCTAGGAGAACATCATCATGGTACACATATAGATAATGAAACAGAATTTATAACCAAAGCGTTAGCTGGACTTTTGTAGGTGTGAAA